CATTGCCTGGAGGTTAGAAACTCTCATTATGCCGTGTTAGATTTATTAAAATAGATTATGGAAATGTTAATTAAGTCATTAATTACATTATTTAAGCAGCATTGACAGATAAGGGAGTGTGTGTGTGTGTATGTGTGTGCGTGTGTGTGTGTGTGAGGGGGGTGTCGAGCTCCCTGGGTGGTTTAAAAGGATGTGATTGGTGACAAGGGACACTGTGGAGATGGCGTCTAACCGCTAGCGCTGACATGATACAAAGTGGCCTACACTGCTCTCTCACCTCACGCTACTGTCTACAGCAGTTTGCAGAGCTGCCTGAGGACGAGTAGCTCATCGCCCTTTTGCAGATACAAGTGTACACAAGGGTACAAATGTACTTTTTTTTGTGCAGCGACTCCACATAAGTTAAGAGAATTTGGGCACAGTGCTTAAACACTCTGCTTTACATTTTCCTTTGTGTGAACATTTGGACGAAGCATTTGCTGTGACGCTTGAGCAAAGGCCTCAAACCATATTTCCAAGCTGTTCCCGAGGAAAACACAACGGCACAATTGTAAGATGAATTGCCCAGGAGTTGATACTATGGACTCTCTTATCTGTTGACAGTTTAGTTACCACGAAGCACAAGAAATGTGTTTTCCAATTCTCTGAGAATTGAGCTTTTCTTTGTCCCATCAAACCTATATTAAGGGAGGGAAAATTGCTCTGATCACACTTGATAAGAACAAATGATAGATGTTGTAAACAAGCAGAATGCTTCAATTCTGATCTGAGGCATTGATTCGCCTCAGCAGCCAATTACTGTGTGGACTGAGGTTATGCATCCAGTCAATCTGCAGGGAAAGGGATTTTTTTGTTTTCTGTCCAGTCTGTTACTTTGCACCCAGCAGTTAGTAAAGATGTTATACTGTTGAATTAAAATGTATTATCAACTGTTGGAGTTAAATAATGAGCACCAGTCTTGATTCCTCAGCTGCTATGTCAGGTTGTAGTGGAAGATGTACGTCTTGATATTAAGTGGCTACTGATTGTAGGAAATGATACAGTATGAGGCTGCTCGACCACCTCAGAGTCAAGCTATTGTGATTAGCTCCTAGTCAGTCACATGAACCTCAGGATAACTAATTCATAGCTGTGATGGTTGGTATGCTCCGATGTGAAGAATCACATAATAGCACTTAACCCCCCACAAGACTAAAACATGCAGATTTTTCCTGTGTGATAGCAGCTGAGTACACTGTGGGAGAACTACACCGTGCCTTTTGTGTTTTCAGCTGTTTTATCTTTTGCCGTATAAAAACCTTGAAAATGTCTGCTCACCTGCTTATTATTTCTTAAACACTGCCCACAGTATGTCTCAGTGGAGGTACTTTCAACCACTTGACTAATCACCAGGCAGTGATACTCAACCTTATCGCCTGTTGGAATGTATGTTTCTGAAAGAGATATGTTACTTTTGTGCATTGTTATGTAGCAAATACATTACATTACATTTCATAAACGCTGTGGTTAACGTGGTTAGATTAAAGCAGCTCTTACCTTTCTTGCAGTTCACACAGCACACAAAAAATTTGAACATCCACAACTCCCGCCTCCCTCCAAAGTCCCATCCTCCTCCTCCTCCTCCTACAACTCCACCTCCTTCCAAAGGCCTACTGCCCCCCCCTCCATTACGTCCTCATTATGTCTATGATAGACGTAGGCGGTCGCATGGTAACGTTAGATACACAGAAGAGGAGGGCGAATGTAACGTTACAAATGCATCCCCGGAGTTTTAAAACTCAACCGGAGTCAGTGATGACTGATGAGTTTTAGAATAAGGTTACAGTGCTAACGTTAGATAGTAATGTTAACATTACTAGTAAGGTGGAAACACACAAGGGAGATAACATTAATGTTTCAGAGGCTACGCTACAGTAGGCTAACGTTAGCCATTAGCAACCGGATGCTGTGTTGTCATTTAACATTATGAACTGAACTTCTTTATTTGTCATTTTTATGCGCAGCACAAAAAACGAACTGACATTTTTGCATACCCCAAGCAAAAAGAAACAAAACATTTAAAAACAATTTGTGTAACATACAAGAAAGAACATATAGTGCAATAGTAAGATGAAAAGGGTCGATATTTCAGTCAAAAACTCCACATCCTGAGAGCAGAACTGGGAGCTCCTTTTCACATCACAGCACCATGAATTGTTTGTGTATACACCACAAAGCTTACCAGATGATGCAGCCTCCCTGTCTGCTCTGTGTAGTGTTAGCCTCCTTAGCTCAACACCGGCGTCTTATATGTTACCATTCATCCATGTCTCAGTGAACACAAGGACGCAGCAGTCCCTCACTCCTCAGTGAGTGGATCTCCATTGTCGGATGTAATCCATTTTGTGTCCAGCGAGCGGACGTTCACCAGAAGGCCCCTGGGAACAGCTGGTTTGATGGGGTTAGCTGTTAGCATAGAGCTAACCCCTCTGCGCGTCCCTCGCTTCCGCGCATCTCCCACCTCCGCGTCCTGTCATAATGCTTCGGGACAGCTCCAGGTGAAACCATGGTCCTCTCAGGTTACTAGTTTATATCCACAAGCGTCCCTGTTACTAGCATATTTGTTGTCTCACAGACTCAGGGGTGGAGGGTGTGGGGGGGATGTTATGCGAGTGGTTACGTCTGTCTGAGGCCTCCACATGAGGAAGACAGACAGGACAGGAGAAAACTCCGACCAGTCATTGCATTCAGTCCGAATGTTTTCCTAGAATCATATGAGAATGGTATAATTATGAGTTTTTATCTCTGGTGGAATTCACTTACATTTCAGTGTGCCATCAGCTTATTAATAGCATTTTAACCTAAACAAAGAAAAGTGTAAAATTTCCAGAAAGGTTAAGTGTTGCTTTAAGGCACAAAATTCATGTGGTCATGGTTCGGAAAAGATCACGTTTGGGCTTAAAATACCTGGTTCTGGTGGCGTAATCCTGGCAGGAAACGCAGCAACGTCTCACCTGGTTTTGTTGTTTGTTGGTCTTGAACATTGTTGCAGGTTTTAATACATATAAATACATTTAAAAGTGAAGGTAAACTCACACTGAAGCTTTTTAACATTTCACAAAACAGCTCCACTGCCTGAATATTTAGAGAAAAGGTCCAACTGGACGGTACGGTAACATCCTATAAAGAGGCCAAGCTGCACCCTGGACTCAGCAGTAGTTTCCTACACGCTCTAAAGACTCAGTTAATAGGAGGAGAGGCACTTAATAATGAGATTAGGATTATGTTACTATACTAACAAAGTTATTTGGCTTGAGTCAAAGTGTGAATGTAGCTAATTGGACTCACGTGACAGAAAAATGTGGGATGAAGCAATCAGACCTTGAGTTTCTGGCTGCGGTTGAAAAGTGTTTGTTGCTCAGGAAGGTTCCTAACTGAGTAAAATGACTCGAAAGTGTCTCAGCGGCAGGCGTGAAAAGAGCTGGTCAAATTTACGTAATGGCAAAGGAAAGGAGCTTCAGCCCTTTTTTGGTACGTCCTTTAGAAATCCTTTAGAAAAGGAAGGGAGAAAACGTCCCACAATTCCTTGCAGAAACAATACTTTAAGCAATGCCCCATTCAGCTGTTCTTGAAAACAGGCGTCAGGCAAATGATCAGCAGGAGCAACGAGGGACGCAGATCATCCTGACCATTGCATCTTAAAGCTGGAGTAGGCAGATTTATTTTGACTTTACTGGGCAAAAATCCAGCAATAACCTTTGAGCATATTGTACTTCATGTGGTCTGAAAGAAAACATCTTCTTCTGTTTTCAGGTTTAAGAAAATAAATCTAGCCAGTGACGGGAGAATTTAGCCAATCACAGTTCATCTCAGAGAGAGGGCGTTCCTATCGGTTGTGCTACAAATACAGATGTCTGTGCACATCCCGTCAGTGGAAGCCTGATTCAGTGGCAGAGAGTCTGGCAATAAACAAAATAAAACGCGTTTCATTATCGACCACATGTTTCAGAGATAGAGAGAAAATGTTGCTAATACTTTAGCTTTCTACTAACCGGAGTTACAGGCTCATAGTTGAAATTTATGTTAGCTAGAGCCTTGAATCACGCTGTGTCCTCCACCTTACTCCCCACCGCTACAGACCACCTTGCTGGGTGGAGAGCAGGCAGCAACTCCGGGGATGGACCTCCAATTAGGTTCTGCAGCAAGCCAAATCCAGCCAGCACAAACCGTCAGCCCCGACTAATCGCTGGATTAGTTGCCGTTACAGAAGTTAGAACTGGGGCTGCCGCTGGCCACCAGCCTACTGTGACACCCAGGGCTTAGAGGTCGGTGCTGGCCAAATTTAAGTTACTATAACCACTAACCGAAGGTCCTCCCAGGGAAACTGTTCAAAGCTGTAGGGAGCGAGGCGGAGGGACCGTGGGGTGGCTAGTAGCTAAGTCTTGTCTCATCTGTGGTCAGATAAACAAAGAAAGACGGCAGGCGAAGGAGGGGCTGAGAGAATGTGCTGTGGGCAACTCTACAATGAAGTAAGATCAAATAAATCAATGATTAGGAAATACTGTGTTACTGTATGAAGAGCTTATATGCTTGTGGTCATCTGGTGGGAGGGGCTTAGGATAGAGAGTGGAAAGCTGCTGGAGGAGGATGTTTTTGTTTATTTTTTTCCTTGTACAGGTTCTGCCTATCCCAGCTTTAAGCACCTCGGTAATTAAATAATATTTTTCACCATGTTGTCAACGTTCATATCACCGCATGGGGCAAAGTATCTCAGATGCACTTTTAGTCGTCCATGTGCAGAACATTGTAGTTTCACCACAGCATAATTACTGGGTCTGGTGTAGACAGATTCTTTTAGCACCGTTGCCTTTTCCGAAGTCCTTAAGACTTCTCTGTCACACTTTTCCTTCACCTCATGAAGTTTTCCTTCGAGGTCAAGGATATATGGTTAGGAAAAGACAAAGGACAAAATTTTTGGGAGCTGTTCTCTGCTAATGTTTGTACTCGTGGTGTTTTCTCAGGTGTCTGTGCAGCTACCTCAGCAGTCGTTACCGGCAGGCTGAGCAGAGCTCCTTCACAGTCCGGGCCAGAGGCTTCGACGAGGACAGAGCAAGCGTGGCCCGCTGGGATCAGTCTGAGGCCTCAGCAGCGGCAGGTCAAGCTTCATCGGCGGCCTCACCCAGTCAAGTGGACGAAAGGAAAGTGGATATGCTGAAGAGTGGATGTCTCAGCTTTTTCTGAACCACTAACAGAAGGAGTTTACAGAATGCAGAATGAGAGTAAATCCTATGGGTATTCAAGATATCAGTTTATCAGCGTGGCGTTTATGAGATTTTACAATTTAAAACCTTTTTTTCTGAGGTGTCAAATATTCTTGTTTTCCTCTATGTCAAACGCTTACCCTCTTTATTCAGCGGGTACATTCTCACTTTTTGCAAATTGATCATAAGGAAGCTAATGCACGCAGCGTGCATGAGTGTGTTCAGGCTCAGGGAGAAAAAAAGAGCCTGAAATCACTCTCGTTCCTTAATGATGTCCACACAGAGACAATGGGGCGCCGCTCTGATTAGTGTCACCTGTCCTTGTGCATCTCATCAGCTCCATTATGGCTCCAGCTCCCATGCTTCTTCTGCTAATTGAATAGCCTGTGAAGTGGTGACGAGGACGGGGGTGAGAGCAGCGTCTGTCCCGCTGCTGCTTCAGAAATGAGAGTGAAGCTTCCCAGTGAGACACCACTGTAGTTCTTAAAACATGAACCATTATCATACAGATGGAAAAAGTGCTAACAAGCAGCCCTCATGTTATATTACTGTCATATCGTCTATGGATTATCTTCATATCTAACAGCTTACAATTAGCATCGACTGTAGGTTTTTGAAGAGAAGCATTTCTGCACTACGCATTTCGTCAGTTTATCAGACAGAGGTTCATAGTGGACGTAGCCATAAAACACTCATCATCTTTCAGTAGCTGCACACTGCAACTTAAGTATGGTTTGACATTTTTGTACATTTATTTGCATTCTTACCAAAAACTAAAGGAAGAAATTGCTCAGCTTAGCTGACTAAGACTGGACATGGGAAAAAATTAGCCCAGCAACTCCGTGGGCCCAGACACACCAAACCGACTTCAGAGAACTAGCAGTGAATCCTCCTTGCTGTGTTGCCTCACGTTGCCTTTGTCCTGGCCAAAAAAGTTGCACATGAACACACCAAAGACTCAACCGAGGGTCAACCAGCATGTACATTCTGTGCTTACATGAGAGGAAATAACTCTCCATACAAGCAGTCATCTGTATTCATGATTCAAAAAGGGAAACTGTAAAACCGTCTTTATGCTAGTTAGCCAGTTAACACATGTACAACACAATGTAGTGTTGAAAGAACAAAGCACATTAACCGTGTGCCTGTGAACAGTAAGACAAACCATCAGGAAATGTTTCTGCTACATAACCAAATCGATAAAGAAAAATAAACTGACCCTATATAACAAGTTTGTTTTTGTCCCAGTTCCTCTGGATTTAGCTCTTTGTTTACTTTCCTCACTTAAGTTTCTCATCTTGTGCGCTGACCTGAACTGATAATCAGACAGATTTCCTTTAAAATAGGAAACTAGAAAATGCAGTGTAAGGATAAGGCTGGTGTTATTCTGTAGTATAAGTATTGTCAACAAATCCCATAAAAAGACGATGTAAGATTTATTCAGTGACCGGGCTCTGCCGCTGATTCTGTGCTCACCTGCCACTTGTATGTCTGAGTCTGTATCTTTTGAGTTCCTTGTTAAATGTACGTTAACGTTTATTCACTGGGAGAATTCACAGAACCACAATCCATATGAAGCTCTGATATCAGACCACAGTGTTATTTACCATGAGACCTTTATCATACACATTTGCTGGCTTGACTTTGTTTGACTAAGCGTGTCAGTCCAGCACAGCAGGGATTTGCATCTTCAGGGCTACCTGCCTGAAGGTGTGTCTTAAACTGATGACACACTTGTCTTGAGTCTCTGTTGTTTTAAAGCAGCTCCCTGGCTGTGCAGCGGTTGTTGGTAGCCAGCTACTTATCATCATGGATTTTCTGGCTGTTGTTACAATGAAGTGTCCGCCATGTCCGACAATAACAGCGGAGGCTATTTGAACATGTCGCTGAATTGTTGCTGAATGTTTATGAAGCCCATCTGACATCACTGCAACCTGTTTTGAGTGGGTCTGACAGGACTCTGGAGGTGGTCTATCACAGCACATCTCGCCCCATTTAAACTGGCAATGAAAACTCAAATGAACGTGGCCAAAAGTGCCAATGAAAATAACCTACTCTTGTTCAAGTATAAGCAGGGTTGGAAATCAGCACCAGCCAAAAAAAACACAATGGTAATCTATTGAGTGGCTTGTAGATTTTGGAATCCACCAGCCATTTTGTATAACCACTTCCTGTTAGGGGTCGCAGGTGTCTATCCCATCTATCCCAGCTGACATAGGGTGAGAGGCAGGGTACACCCTGGACAGGTCACCAAACTATCACAGGGCTGACACATAGAGACAGACAACCATTCACACTCACATTCACACCTACGGCCAGTTTAGAGTCACCAATTAACCTGCATGTCTTTGGACTGTGGGAGGAAGCCAGAGCTCTCTTGCTGTAAGGCAACAAAGCTGACCACTGCACCACCGTGCCGCCCACACTAGTGACATGAATAAAACCCATCACCAAAGTATTTTGTAGTAAATATGGTCTAAGGAATGTATAGAGGAACTGAGACTCTGTCTAGAGAGAATAGTTGGGAATATTTTCTTTGACTCCTGCATCAAAATCACACTATTTTTATTCTAATATGAAGTTGTGTGAGGGTGATGTGTGTAAAACAAAAACTGTGATAATCCTCCCAACTACAACCCTGTGGTATAAAAACAACTGAAAGGAAGTCTTAATGAAAAGAAAATGGCCTTTTATTGTGGTGTCACTGGATTCTCTGAGAAAAAAGAGACAACTAAGAGAAAAATAAGATTGAAATCTTCAGCAGTTAACATAAAACAAGCACGGGAAGGCTTAAATGCGCTACTGGGGGTGGCCAGAGAGAAGGAAGAATGCTCTGTCAGTAACTTTGCTAATGAGCTAAATGTTTATTACAGTAGATTTGACTGTGTGGTGCCTGTGTGTGACTGTGTGAAGCCAAAAAAGGCCACTGGCCCAGATGGACCACAGGCACATGTCCTTAAAGACCCAATTAAAGGGAGTCTTTACAAGGTTATTCCAGTACTTGTTAAACACACGCACAGCGCCTAAATCAGGGAAACTCTCAGTCATTAAGTCTGTGCCCAAAAAAGCCAAAAGCAAGTCTGACTTTTGACCAATAGCCATCACTGCAGTCTTTTTGTGAAACCACAGAGTTCCAGCTAACTTCCTCTGTGGTACAGACGATGCACTGCTTTGTTTAATATCATTAATAAGCATCTTTTATTTGCGGATTTTGTGAAGCTGATAGGGCTGCCACTAACGATTATTTTCATTGTTGACTAATCTGTCGATTATTTCTTCGATTAGTCGACTAATCATTTCATCGAAAAATGTGTTAAAATGTTGAAAAATGTCGGCCTGTCACACCCAAACCCCAAAATTATGTCATCTAATGTCTTGTTTCATACTCACGCCAAAGTGAGGTTTTAGTTCACTGTCACGGGAGAGTGTGTAAAGCTGCCAATATCTGAACTTAAGAAGCTGCAGTAAAAGTATTTTGGGGTACTTTTATAGTACTTTTCTATGAAAAATGACTCAAACTGATTAGTCAACTACTAAAATAGTCACCGATTATTTTAATAGTCGATTAGTCATCGATTAGTCGACTAATCGTGGCAGCCCTAGAAACTGATTACTCCGAGTCTGATGGGCTCGCTGTCGGTACAGGTGCTGTTGAAGGATGTGTTCTGTCCCCTGCACTGCTCATCCTATACACAAATTAATTTGAGATCAAAGAGCAGAGTTGAGCTCCTGTGATTATGCAGATAACCTCAGTTGGCCTTTGTGAAGTGAAGCTGACTGTTTGGCCCAAACAAACTTTCTTCATACAGGCGTGGCGTAGAAGTAGCAATTTGAAGATGAGTGTTGATAAGATTAAGGATATGTTCGTTTGTGCCAAGCAGGATTTCACAACAGAGCCTGATGGGTTTGACAGCCAACTTGTTGAAACTGTTAAAAGTTTCAGATGTCTTGGCTCAGTCCTGGACAACCAGCTGAACCTCTCTGAAAAATATTAACTGTTTTCAACAGAAGCACACAAACGGCTTCTTCTTCTCGGGAGATTTTTGGGTTTTGAGTTAATCAGTGTTAGAAATAGTTTCCAAAACTGTTTGGTCTTCGGTCACCTTAACTGCAGGCTCAGGAATAATCTGGCTAGAGTAGTCGTCTTTGCCAACAAAACAACTGGGAAGCCCTTAACGAATAAGTGAGCTTTACACCGTCAGAACAAGAGATAAAGCCTTCAAGGGAAACTTTGGTAGTTTACAACCTGGACCAGATTTTCTCATGTTTGTATGTTGTAAGTCCAGTTCAATCCAAAGACTGGCAACGAGAAGAAACAGTTTTAGAAAGTTGCAGTGGTGTGAACTCATCGCGGTGAATTGCTGTGAACCGGCAGGTTTTTAGAACGTTGCAGAACAGAGCATTGCAAGTAGTTGCCTGTTTCAGCTCAACTCGTCGTGAATCTTTAGTCTGAACTGCCACAAGTGACCAATGAGAATAACAATCTTTGACATTGGTCCAGTATTGAGCGAGAGCGCTGCAGCGGCGAAACAGACTGTAACGTAATTCCCTGCAGGCATCTGAGCACCGTCAATTTACTTCCACTAAAAGTTCCTGTTTTTGCCACTGACAGGCTCAGATTGTTGTTCTAAGTGTCTGACAATATTATGGAAAGGATCCCTACAGAGATATACCTTTTGTTAAAGTGTAAGATCCATTTTATTTAACTAGAAACGACCGGTTAAATAAAAAAGGTCTTATTCTTTAACGAAAAGGTCTGTCTCTGTGGGGATCCTTTCCACAGTGTTGTCAGACACTTAGAACAACAATCTGAGCCTGTCTGTGACAAAAACAAGAACCTTCTATGGACGTAAATTGATGGTGTTTAGATGCCTGCAGGGATTATATTGCAGACTGTTTCGCTCAATTCTAGACCAATTTCAAAAATTGTTGTCCTCATTAGTAACTCAGATACAGAAACATGGTAAAATAGGGTCCAGGTCAAAAGATACCAAAGTTACCCTTTAAGCACACTGACTGACAGTTCTCATCCTTTATTTCCTCAGTTTGAGTCTCTGAACTCTTGGGCAACCAAAAAATTGTTTTATGAAGTATATAATTCCAAGTGCAATCGGCATTTAAAACCTGAACTAGACAAGCCACAGTATTGTTTTGTTTTAGGTATTGTATCTGTAACTTTAACTTGTGTGTGTAGAAAAACTTCTTTTCCTCTCCATGGTGTCTCGTTGCCACATTTCTTCCACTGTGTTCTCTACAAAACTACCAAAACCAGAAAACTACCTACAGCTCCCCTCTCTGTGGCTCTCAGGCCCACTGATACTGAAGACACCGACCTTTTAAGAGTTCACAAGTTTACAGTTTTTAGAGGGGAAAAAAGTAAAGACTGATTTCCTCAAACAGCTGGTCCCTGTAGTTTTTGGCAAACATGACTCTAAGTCGATTCTTTTCTTTGGGAGTATTTTCAGTTGTGGATTAATCTACATTTGGTGCTCTGGTTAGTATTTGGGGCAGCAGGACGGTGTATGTGGGACTGAGTCAAAATAAACGGCAGTGTGTGTGTTCATGGTAATGAAGGAACAAGTCAACAATGCGGCTCATTGTGTTTTTAATAGTTTTTTGGCAACTATGGAGCTCTATGGCACAAGATATATCAGGCTGTGGATACACAGACGATACTTTTAGTAGCATCGCTTCACAGGCTTCGTCTTTGGGATTTGTTGATGATAAGAAAAATAGAGAATATCACCAGCCTGAAACATAGTTCAAGGATTTTTTTTTTTTTTTTTCAATCATTTTTGTCATTTATGAAATTTTCATTGTGAGATTAACAACTGAGACAACTGCACCATAGAGTCCAAACACAGATGATGAGATCACATCATCTATATCATTCAGTAAATGTTCATGTCCCCCAGTTTGTACCACAGGTTCTCCGTTATTATTATGTAGTCAACGAGCCTACAGAAAAATTTTCATAGTTGCGGTAAGATGGGGCCGCTGAAAATCACAGGGTGACACACCAAAACCAAAAGCCAGGAATTCTATTATGCTGTTGAAATATATAAGCAAAACTATGTCAATATGAGAGTTTAGGAATCGCACACTGAGATGCTTTGGTTTCTTATTTTACAGTCAAAGTTCCTGATGATCTGATTTGCATAAACTAAAGTCCCGATGCGTTTTTTTAATCTGTCATCTGAAAAAAATCATTAAAC